CAGAACCTACTTACAAAACCCCACTGTAGAGAACAGACAAGCCGACGTCGAGTCCAGAAACAAATATAACGAAGCGGTTCGCAATGCCAAAACCCAGCATGATATAAAAGTTAGGCACAGGGTAATGTCGCAGCGCAATGGCAGTCGGTCTTTCTGGACGCTGGCCAAGCAGATTGAAAAGAACTTCTCACACAGTAGCCTTCCACCACTTACGTGTCAGGATGGAACTATTGTATTCGACCCAAAGGCCAAGGCGGAAGTGCTAGCCAAGATCTTTGCTGCCAACTCCACCATGGACGTCCCCACCAACGCCCAAGTGCCGTCAATTCAAAGGGTTCCCCACACTATGCGGGAGGTAACATTCAGGCATAAGACCGTAAGACGAGTGCTCTTGTCGCTCGACATCAACAAAGCTTCTGGTCCGGACTTGATTCCTGCCATTGTACTGAAGAGATGTGCAGCTGAGCTTGCTCCAGTTCTTTCGCGTCTCTTCCAGATATCTTATGAATCCGGCACCTTCCCAGAAAACTGGAAATTTGCTCATGTACAGCCCATCCCAAAAAAAGGATCTAAAACCGACCCTTACAACTACAGGCCTATAGCTCTGCTTTCTGTTATCAGTAAAGTGATGGAGAGGTGCATAAATCGCGAGCTTCTGGACTACCTCGAACGTCACAGCTTGATTAGCGACAGGCAGTACGGTTTCCGGCACCAACGATCCACAGGGGACCTCCTAGCTTACGTCACGCAACTGTGGAGTAAACTCATCCAGTCTCATGGTGAGGCTCATGTCGTTGCTCTTGACATCACGAAAGCGTTCGATCAGCTGTGGCACGCTGCCCTCTTGAGCAAACTTCCATCCTACGGCCTCCCAGAAAAGCTTTGCAGATGGGTGGCTGACTTTATCTCTGACCGCAAGATATCCGTCGTAATTGACGGATTCTCCTCTTCATCTCACAACGTCAACGCGGGTGTTCCCCAGGGATCGGTCTTGGCTCCAACACTGTTTCTCTTACATATCAACGACCTCCTTTCCTGCACGATCAACCCAATCCACAGCTTCGCTGATGACAGCACTCTACATGCAGGAATTCAGAGTGACAAGCCGATCTCTGCCGCTGAGCTGGAAAAAAGAAGACTAGCGACGACTTCTTCTCTGACAAGAGACCTGGAGGCTATCACTGCTTGGGGACGCAACAATCTTGTACAGTTCAATGCTTCCAAAACACAGTACTGTACTTTGACGAACAAAAAGCGTCCTAGCGCTCATACAGTTTCGATGGACGGTCGAGTTCTACCAAAGAGCCATTCATTTCGGCTGGTCGGAGTCCAGATCACCGAGGACCTGATCTGGCACGAACACATCTCTTCAATAGCTGCAGCTGCTGGGAAAAAGCTAGGCTATTTGTTTAGGGCTAAGAAGTACTTTTCTCCGCATGACCTTCTCACTCTATACAAGGCCCAGATAAGGCCTAGCCTCGAGTATTGCTCACACATTTGGGGTGCTGCCGCCCCGACTACATTGTCCATGCTCGATGCTGTCCAGAGGAGGGCGGTCCGACTGATCGATGACTCTTCTCTAACAGACAGCCTCGGGACTCTTTCGCACCGGCGGGCCGTCGGCGATCTAGCTCTTTTCTATCGCTACACCAACGGGCTTTGCTCCTCAGAGCTCTCTTCCATGATGCCGCCGCGCGATGTGCCTGCCAGACAGACCCGCCTGACTTCGGCGTCCCATCCTAACCGTGTCAAACTTCGTACATCCAGAACTGGCCGATACGACCGCTCCTTTGTCCCGAGGGTGTCTAGATTGTGGAACAAACTACGGGAGGAAGCTTTTCCCAGTTCTACTAACCTTAGGCAGTTCAAAAATCGTATTAACAAAATTTCTTTGGGATCATCATAGCAGCCGCGGTGTTCCGGCATTTAGACTTCTGCCTGCGCGGCTGTTTCGATATAAAAAAAAAAAAATTATTATTTTGTTCAGTGCTACACGTGGCCCTGGGTCTTTAGGAATTTGATTTGCTGGATAAAAGATATCCCACTTAAAATGCTCAACAAACTGTTTGTCAGTATAGAAGGGAACAGTTTCCTCAAAGAAATTATCATTTTTACTCACTTCATTGAGAAGCTCTGGCAAAAATAAGTTGGGAGTAACTGCTTCATCATCACTGTCAGACGCCGATGATGATGACGAACCAGAATAAGAAATGATCTTCATTGAATTTATTTGTCCACTTTTCTTTTAATTTTAAACAAAAAACACTCCTCAAACCGCAAAACAGTAAACAGCGTTTAAAGCAAAACACGTCAAATAATTTTAACCCAGATATGCCTACAGCTCAAATAAATTATAATAAAGTATGTTCCCTGCAAATTCATTCTATATGAAGCATATATTAAACAAATTTATTATTTTTTAAATTTTATTTTAGGAAAACGTGTAAAAAAATGCCGTGCAAAATATGGTACACTAGGCACATAGACGAACATTAAGGTTTAGTATGGAACGACAAAAAACATTTTACATGCATCGCTACATTGCACTTAGAGCACCTTGTTTTTGCTCTATCATGACATAAGCCGCATCTAGTTGGCTTTTCTTGTCGTATCACAAAATGATCTGAACGATCATAACGAATATCTAACATATATATTCATTAGCCGAAGGACGTCCTCTAGAAAAAGATGGCGGTTTCTTGTTTTGTTGTAACAAGGCTGTGGCAAGCCGCCGTCCAAATAATAATTGATCCATATGTCCTCCGTGCGATCTATAAAGTTGCCAGGAATTATGAACAGCCATATCAATACAGTGGCTGATCAATGAAAAATACCACTTTTTACCCCGGATGGAAATGCGATACAGACCAATATTTTGATCACAACTATCAACGCCGCCCATATTTGCGTTGTATACATTTACAACATGAGGGTGTTCGACCTAAAATCAAAAGCATTTTTGATAACATTGATTTTCTTGCAGATTGTGTTTCTTACCTGAATACTTTTTTTTATCCTTTTGAGAGTATCGCTTTACAAAGCGAATTGGTTGCAATCCTGCGGCATTTGAACAGAGTGTTACTAAATTATTGTCATGCCATTTTACTGCAATTATGTTTGTATCGGAAATTTTGTTGTAATCGTAACTACCTCTTTTTTCCCTTTTCATAATTGTAGAATCTCTGAATTGGACGCCTTGTAAACGATTTTCTCTAGCAGTACCAGTCGCAAAGAAATTTTTTTCTGTCAATTTTACCATAAGAGGGAGAGAACTGAAAAAATTGTCGAAAACTACATGAAATTTTTCATTTGGCCATTTTCTCCTCAGTGCATCAGAATACACTAATACCACACCAGCACCAACCCCCAAATCTGCATAATTCTTACTAATGTTGCTTGACGACCCTTGGTAAGGTGCCACCCAGTAAACGTAGCCTACTCTTGATGCGCCAACCCATAATTTATAGCCGTATCGTATAGGTTTTCCGCAAATGAGCTGTTTGCACGAGTGTCTCCCAAAATAAGGAACCATTGCCTCATCTACACTATGCATTTCTGTCAAAATTCCATGTTAATTTTTGATTCAGGCTCAAAAATAAAGGTCTAACTTTTGCAAACTTATCTCCTTGCTGTAAATTGTAATTATCTACTAAATGGAAATTTGAGATAATATACTCAAATTTATCTCGTGTAAGCGCTTCTGTGACGAGTTGATTATTAGCATCTCTTTCACGTTCCCAGAACATTCTTCTACGTGGTAGACGACATAACCATTCAATATTATAGTTCCAATAAATGCCCTTATTTCATACTCTTGCACCTCTTGTTGGCGCTTCTTTTGCCTGGCATATCTATTTGTTTCAGTTGTTATGCGTGTTATAATTTCGCCGTCAAAAAAAAGTGAAAACCATTCAAGTGGAGTCTTAGAAGAATTATTTTGTTCAAGAATTTCTTCGAAGTTTCCTGGAACTTCTTGTGGTAGATCCTCCTTCACCCATTTGTACGTTTTTCGTTTCTTTAGCTTTTTATTTTTTTAGCCAATTCAGACAATGGAATATTATCTTCGGAATCAGATGAAGATATGCTAAATTTTTCATGAGGTATGTTTATCTCAGCAGGTGCTTGTAATTGTGAACCCGGTAGATTATCATCTGGAAATTTATGAAATGGCGCTTGGTCAAGTTATGCATAATTAATCTCAAAGATGGGTGTTATGTGACTTGATTACGAGATATGTCTTTTAACTTTTGCATATAGAAACATAGTAGGCCGCGCGCATCGAAAGTCAGTACTGAATCTTAACCTCACTCTTTAGTAAAGTTAAATTCAAAGTTTCACAACAATACCTGCAGTGTTCTCAATACAGTGAATTTTCAAGTATCACCAAGTCATTAGAAAAATGGAACTCAACCGAGAACATTTTCGCGCCATCATTTATTACAACTTTCAGAGACAATTATCGCAACAAGAATGCCTTGCTGAGTTACTGTCTGTTCGGCAGTCACTCAGAAAAACGTCGATGCTGTGCGCAAACTCATCATTGAAGATAGACATGTCACGTATCGGAAGATTGAGGCGTCCTTGAAGATCTCAAAGAACTCAATTCAAAATATTTTACATGAAGAATTAGGAGTAAGACAATTAGTTTCTCGTTGGATACCCCACCTGTTGACTGAAGAGCAGAAAGCAGCTAATTGGTGTCAAAAAACGCATTGTTAGTGGTGATAAATCGTGTATTTACTCTTATGAACCAGAAAATAAACGACAGTCGACTGTTTGGATGTTCCAAGGTGAAGAAAAGCCAACAAAAGTCATCCGTTCTCGAAGTGTTTTAAAAAAGATGATCGCGACATTTGTGTCAAAAACGGGTCATATTGCAACAATTCCTCTTAATGAGTAAATAACTGTCACTGCGGATTGGTATACCACCATTTGTTTGCCAAAAGTCATCACCGAGCTTCGAAAAATCAACCCCGAAAGAAGAATCATCCTCCACCAAGAACAAAACAAGGCAGTATTTAACGAAAGAAAACGTGGAATTATTGGACCATCCTCCATATAGTCCCGATCTAAGTCCTAACGATTTCTTTACTTTACCGAAAATTAAAAACAGACTGCGTGGTCAAAGGTTCCGGTCACCAGAAGAAGCAGTTGAAGCATTAAAAAAGCCGTTTTGGATCTGCCAGTAAAGGAGTGGAATAAGTGTTTCGAAAATTGGTTCGAGCGCATGCAGATGTGTATTAATCTTCGTGGAGAGTACTTCGAAAAACAATAAAGTCATTTAAAACTACCTACCGTGTTGTTTTATTTCCATATGCAAAACTTAAAAGACATCCCTCGTAGTAGATTTGGACTTGCCGGTCAGTACTGATAAAGAGCTTCAAAATGAGGTATCACATAACACCACATTATATTTAAAAAAAAAGTTTTCAGCTGTTTCGAGATTCAACTTGCTAACTTGACCCGTCCGAACAATTAGGGGGATTATTGAATAGTACTTTATAGGTAGGGAACAGAAAACGAACTCTGTACCAACTAGAGCATTCACAATTTACCTTTTGCGAGCAATGAATTTCGACTGGGAAAGCCTTATTTCCTTTCAAAGCTTTCAAAGCTGAAAACTCAATTTCCCCGACGAGTAACTATCCGACTCCTAATAAAACAAATCCGATTTTTGCCGCTCACATGCCTCCACGGCAACTTTTAATTATTAACTTCAGCAAATTCAACTCTCTCACCACCTCGAAAAGTCAGGCTCCACGGAGATTCTCTCGAGGCAGAGAGCACGTTGAAGTTTTAATCGCTCGCTAATAGACGGAGTTGGAGTTACGGTATCCAAGCAGAACTTCTTAGATAATTAAAAACAGACCAGGGTTATTTTCAACGTGAGACCAGCGAGGCAATCGAAGACAACATTTGTTTGTTGATCCACACGCTTGGCTAAGAGATAATAAGATTGATTATGTAGGTTTTCCACCAAGACATCAACTTGGAACTAGCTGTCCTTCACGTCATGCTTACTTGCCTAGTTTTTTTTATATCGAAGCAGCCGCGCAGGCAGAAGCCTAAATGCCGGAACACCGCGGCTGCTAGGATTATCCCAAAGAAATTTTGTTAATACGATTTTTGAACTGCCTAAGGTTGGTACAACTGGGAAAAGCTTATTCTTGTAGAATGTTCCACAGTCTCGACACTCTCGGACCAAGGAGCGGCGTATCGCCCAGTTCTGGATGTTCGAAGCTTGACACGGTTAGGATGGACGCGTGGTCAGAAAGAGATCCAGCAGGCTACTGGCGTGTGACGAGACGCGGGGAAAAAAGTAGGGCTCGTCACTAGCCCTTGAGTAAGAGCGAACGCTTCGACTGCACGACCTGCTGCATCGGTGTTATTTGAACCCAACCAAAACTCATTATGGGCATTGAAATCACCGAGAAGAACTACCTCTGAAGCGGGGTGATTGATGTTCAGGAAGTCGATCCTGACGGCGAGGTATTCCAGTAGATCATCCCAGTTATGGTCCGAGGGAGAGCGATAAAGGCAGGAAATAAATTTGGGCGATGTTTTGGAGTTGAGGCGAAGCCACAGAATGTCCTTCCGGTTGGATTCCAAAGAAACATCTCTAGAGCAGGAAAGACTGTTGCGGACAAAAGCCACAACTCAGCCGTTCTTTCTCAGATTGGAGTGCACCTCGTAGTCTGGGAAGTTAAGATGGTTAATCGGTGCCCTCTAAGATTCTTGTCTCTGCCAAGAAAAGCCTGGCGGGACGATTGGACTGCAGGTAGTGATGAACAGCATCACTGTTGCTGTTAATCCTGCAGATGCTGGTAAAACAAATTTTATCTTCGATGCTGTTCCCTCGAGTCCACCCTCCACCCGAACTTTCCTTAGTCAACAAGTTGACACGTTATCAGTTTTTTGACATTACATAGGTTCTTTACGTAAAAACCCTGCATACAAGAAAAACTCAGCCCTTTGTTAAATATACATGCATTTTCTGGTAATCTTCTGCAAGGCTAAGAAATAGGAAGATGTTATATGAGGAAGTCCTACATTTTACACTAATTTTTTTTTTAAGATATCGCTATAGATTATTGCTCGCTAATCATAAATGCAAAATGACTCCATCCTAGTTGCCTCCATTTTGATAAACGCGTTTGAACGTTTTCGTAAGCTATTGATCATGTATGAAAAGGTCTTAGGATCAATTTTGTCGGAAATTGAATTCTTCATCATTTTGCTTTTATAAACGTTTGCCGTATAGTCAATGGTTGCGAGAAATTTAAGGGTAATGATATTTTCGCTTATAATGGCTTAACCAATAATCTGAGCGTATAAAGACTACGGTTCTTTTTCATCGAGAATGAAATTTCCTACAAAATATATGTTGTATTTTTCACCAAGTAAATGGTTATTGGGATGGAGTAGAAGGTAGAGACCTGTGTTAAAATCCTCGCGTATTTACATGTACGTTCCAGCATCGTGTGATATCCTTTCGCAAATTACTTCAAACCCCGAAGGTCAAACGAGCCTTAAATTCGTATTCAGCACGTCAAATTACATTTTGGTAGATAAGTAAATGTACAGACCATCTTTTTGAGTGCCGGTGAATTAAAAACAGAGCGTTTTATTTTTAAACTTCGTTCTGCCGCTGTGTCATCAATCTCTGTCGCTCTTACTCGGGTGTTGTCGCCATTTGTTAGTGTCAGAGGTATCCTGTGATCAGCGTGGGAGAGAAACAGGTGGCGAAAAGGGTCATCTTTTAGCTTCTTAGGAAAGCTGAGACAGATTTTCCTTTTCATTCATGTTTAGAATTCTAAAATAACCCAGAGTAAGCTGATTTTAAAAGCGTCTTAGTGGTGCACTTCTCCGTCACTTTGCTGAACAAACATCACAGCTACACGCCTGATAGGATCGAGCTTTTATTGAAAAAGGTTGAACATAGCTTCGTTCCAGCATTTTCATTGAACATATTCAAGTATTGACGCACTTGCGCATCCCAAAATATTTTTTACAGCAGTCGAGGTTCAGGTTTAATTTAATGATGTCCCTTGTTCCAGCATCTTTGGTATCCATCCGAAACTAATTCGTTAATTGAAAAAAATGTTCTGAACAGAACTGGCAAAATTAATGGTACAAACATCTTCAGGTGAAAGTCAAGCTTCAGGTTGATGCTTTAAGCGGACATTTTGGAAAATTTCTGAAATTTTGTTAGCGCTTATCCTTGTTATGTTTGGTTTGTGATTATTTGAAGCTCAAAGTACAAACTAAAAAGGAAACTAACAGCATTTTTATAGAGTTTTTCCTAGGGCTTCGTAAGACTCAAGACCAGTCTTGGATCTTCGTCTTGCTAGTAAGACCAAATCCAGAAGCAACACCAAGACTGCATCTTTGCAAAATCAAGACCAAGACTTAATCCGCAAGACCAAGACTTGACCCACAAAGTCAAAACCAAGACTGTGTGACTTGCCCAAAATATTGACACCTCACAATTTGTAAATTGAATTTGTTGGATGCTTCTTAAACGTTGAAGTTTAAAATATCAAGCAAATATTATGGCAACCTTCATGGAGGTATTAACTGAATTTTTGAAAAAATATTGTTATTATTATTATTATTATTATTATTATTATTATTATTATTATTATGATAATTGAGATGAGCAGAGTACACAGTACTATAAGCTCATGCAGTAAATATAGTGTACGGACACGTAACACAAGTACATCAAATAGAAAAAAATAAAAAAAGACAGTTCATAGCTATAAAGTTTGTACACTCCTCCAGCTATCATACTGCACTTTGAAGCTATTAACTGAAGTAGCACCAACCACACTTTCAGGTAAACTATTCCAGGTGTTGAATATGCGGTTGGGAAGAAACCACTGTCGGACTGTTGTTTTAAATGGCTCCTTATGCAGTTTGAAGCTGTGTCCGCGTAGATTGCTGCGCGACAGACGGTATAGATGCATGAGGTTGGTGCCCATCAAACCATGAAGTATCCTGAACGTAACTATAAGATCGCCACGAAGTCTTCGCTCAGAGAATGAAGTCAGGTTGAATAATTCAAGGCGATCTTCATAGCTTGGTCTTCGTGCTCCAAAAGGGATACGAGTAGCCCGACGCTGTACTGATTCGACGAGATTTCTATCGCGCAGAAGCACAGTGTCCCATACCGGGCCAGCGAATTCAAAAATTGGCCTCACGAATGCCCTGTAAATGTAGGCGCAAGTGTTGATATCGGATCCTTTGAAAGACCTCTCCAGCATGTATAGAAGTTTCTTGGCTTTTGATGTAACGTGGTGAATATGCTCTGACCAGGAAAGACGATCGTTGACTACAACGCCCAGATCAGTGTGGCTGGAAACTGCTTCGATGTTGCGGTCAGAGATCTTGTATGTAAATCGCGGATTTGTCTTTCCGAGGTGAAGGACACAACACTTAGTTAGATTTAAGGGTAAAAGCCAACTGACTGACCATTGACAAACAATATCAAGATCTCGTTGAAGCATAGCAGAATTTACGACAGTATTGTAAATCTTGGTGTCGTCGGCATAAGCTGAACATGTGGAGGAAATCAATGCGGGCAGGTCACTTGTATACAGAAGGAACAGCACTGGCCCCAAGACAGAGCCTTGAGGAACTCCACTTGCTACATGATGAAGGTGAGACTGGCTATCACTGACGCGCACAGAGAAAGTCCTCCCGGTGAGAAAAGCCTTAATCCACAGTAACAACCAAATTTTTGTTTGGTGATAGAATCCTATAAACATGAAAGCCACAGGATATGTTCCAGAAGTTGCTTATGAGTGACTAAACTTCCAATCTCCGAAAAGATGCTCATAATTGATACACTTCTACATTGCTAACCGTCACTGCACAAATTTTCAATAATAAAACACCTTTAGCTACTATTAGTTTCCAGTATACACCTTCCCAAAAGGCTCAGAATTGGATGCGGCAAACAACGCTTTACTACAAAGCTAAACCTGCGAATCAAATATTCTATAACCACAAGACGTTATGATGAGGAGAATCGATAACAAATTTTCCATTTTCCCAGATTCGATAGAGAGAAAATTGAGCATTCCACTCAGATTGTGCTTGCGCTTCATTCATAAAATATCAAGCATGTTCCTTGCGCAAACAGTTACTTTATTCAGAAAACAAATAGACGAACGAAATCGGATTTTATTGAACGCGCTCAATCAATACGGGCTTTTATTCGCTAAAGTGTTGATCTATCCAGATGAGATTTTTATGTAGTGATAGATGACTCGATTGACTGACAGCCAATGC